AACCCGGAGCAATCTGGGAGTGGGATGAGGTAGGGGAGATCATATACACATCAGGGACATCAGATACACCAGTAATAAACGTAAAAGGGAGCGGTTATAGATGACGGAAGATAGGTTAACCTAGAGTAATCCTACGGGAAGATGTTAAGATATAAAGATACGGATTTACATACGATTGTGAACTGCCATCACAGTATTGTTCATCTTCTTCATGGACACAGTCAGGGACGCCATCGCATATCTTGTCCGTGCTAACACAATATCCATCTCCGCATTTTAGTTCACCAGGACTGGAAGGAAAGAAAACTTTTCAAAATAATAATTATCACTCCGATAGTCTTTTTAGTGCATGGGCTATAAAAATAAGAGCGAAGAGCTTCGACAAACATCTCAAGCTCTCAGTCATTTGGATTAAGGGCCCTTCATAAGGAAGGTATTTTAGAAACCGCATTGTGAGGCTCCTGTCTCTGCCCTGACCACTAGTTGCTTGAGTCAACGGATTCCGCCGCCGGTGGCGCTTTATTTATATAATGTAACTAGCTGTTCCCGTGCGACTTCATCCGCATAAAACTATGAAAATTTAATTGTTTACGTTTGTCAAATTATCAATAGCAAATGTCAAAATGACATAACATCATGACAAACCGTGGCAATCTTACTTCCTTGATGTTGGCAGCAACTTATGATCTCTTTCCGACATTAGAGTTTTTATCCAAAATATTTACCTCCTAAGTTTAATGGCGTGAAATATATAGCCTAAAGCGTGACGTAAATGTAGTGCTTTTTATAAAAAAAGTATTATTCAAAAATATGGTGTAATTGCTGACATCTTAGGCAACAAAAAAGTGTGTGTTTACGCTTTATTATAATAGTATAGAAGTATAGATATATAAATACCCGCATGTCCCTTCCTCTTCTCTCACAACTGCCGTGAAGATGGGATTCGTAACTGAAAATAGAAAAAGTCAACTGTTTAACATAACGCGATAACACGAAATGAGTATGTAAGAGGAAGTTTGAGAGTAGCAGTGGTAGAGAAGGTAGGGAGTAAAAGGTTAGCATGGGCATGTTATGAGATGAATCACATGTTACAAGAGCGTTAGTTATGAGTGTGGACACCAGTAGTAGACATAGAAAGAGATGGATTGTGTGAAAGACATGATCAAAAAGAGAGTGACTGAGATGACGTATGATAGAGTTATTTGGAGGACAAAAACCTGTTGCGATACGGGAGTAGGATAAGTTAATAAAGATAAGGCTGTAGTTGTAATAAATCCGGCTCGAAGGACCAAAATGTAGACAGTAAAATTTAGAAATAAAATTATTTTTAACGGAGACGTGTATTGGTAAAATATTTACAGAAAGAGACATAAAAAATACGATGACATCGACAATGTGTTCTAATTTCAAATAATTTAAATTCTTTCTTTTTTCTAATGGCTTGAGACCTAAAATTGTAGACCGTTGTAATTTTGTATACATTTTATTTTTTCATAACATGTTTATGTACGAAGTGTTTCTTTCATTTTATTTTTCACTCATATGTATGTAATTTCTACCTATCCACTGCTACTACTGACGTGTGGATGATCCCAAGGATTCTCGCGGAGCAGCGCTGGTACTTCAATAGGAGCATCCAGCATTTATAGCTGAGAGAGGACCCAATCCAGTCAGCATTGTATAATTTTAAATGTTACCTTTTTCTTTTTTTCGTTTAATTAGTTACGTTTCTCATTATTTTGTGTTATTTTTATATTCATAATTGTAATCTTGACAAGGATTAAACGTTATTTTTTTTTTACTTTTTTAAAACATGTAAAAACTCCTTGATGATGATTTTAACATAATTTTATTTAAAATTTCAAGAATTTCATCTCGTAATCAACGAATTTATTATTAAAATAATGTTTTTATATTAGTAAATATAGATATATTATCGTTATTAAAATGATAACAATGAAAGATTGTAGTTCAAAGTTTATATCTGAGTGAAAACATTGACAAAATTAACTATTGAAGTGATTGGCTTGTAATTTTTGTTTCCTTCCAGCATGACAATTTTTCACAATTTATTAAACCCCCTAAATTTAATAGCGTGAATCTATACTAACTATAAAGAGGAAAGATTTTTATTTTTGTAAATATTGGAATAACTCAAAAACTACGGGACCGATTTTAAAAATTAATTTACCGTTAGAAAGGTTATGTATCTATGAGTGATAGGCATTTTTAATTTTACACGGACGAAATCGCAAGCAACAGATTTCATCATCATCATCATCCATTTGCCCTTATCCCTTATGGAGGGTCGGCACAGTATGTGCTGCTCTTCCATACATCTCTATCAGTCATATTTATATATTAGTAAAGATATAAAATTATTTATTGGAAACATAAAGGATTTAGATATTCCTAGATATGCTTTCCTCATTTGTGTGTCTCAACTGTACACGATATTGTTGTTCCTGTCTTTGTATTTGGGAAAAACAAAGACAGATAAAAACGTCACGCCATTTGTAATTCGCAGTAAGTTGTAAAAACTAACAATTACCGCGGGGAGTACCAAAGAAAAAAACCCATTTATCTGTCTTACTAATATTATAAATGCGAAAGTTTAGATGGATGTTTGTTAGAGTTTGTAGACTAAACGGCTGAACGGATTTCGATGAAATTTGGCATTGATCCTTTAAAAGGAGAGGATGGGAAAGGGAAGTGGATTTGACGGTGTAGGAGATGCATAGGAAGGGGGTATATCCTCTTTATGTGCGTCTCCTCCTCCGTCGTATAAGGATAGGCAACTCATCTGTAATTGCGGATGCCTATGTGCAGCGGTCGCTTCGCCATTTTGGCGGATTCAGGTGGCCGTTTGCTCGTTTGCCATCTTATTTTATAAAAAAAATCCCCAAACTCCACAATTGCTTTAAAAATTTCAACCTTATCTTTATACCTTTAAGATTGTAAATAACTCATATCAATAAAAAGCACAACAAATCGGCGATCAAAATTGCATCTTAGTTATACAGAATACAGTTCGATTTAGCTTAAATCGTAACAAACGTAATTACAAAAATGTAATTTGTGATAGATGGGTATTAACAGGAATTTCAAGTTATAGAATCGTAACCTTGACTCGTGTCGTGATCCGGTCATATTCATATTTTAAAGATAACATATTGAAATCTAATGTTTTAACAGTGGCTGAGCCCGCTTTAACATCTTCGCACGAATGGGACGACTCGTCCAGGGTAACGCAGAAGACAGGTGTGAAGTGGAAGGAATCCCGTGTTTCGCCTAATGATTGTGGTGCTGGAGGCCCAACTTTAGTCTGTTCGCGTTTCCATTTTCTTAAGAGAAACCAATGGGAAGGAAAACTTGACTTGACAGTAGGGGAAACGCATAGGAAGGGGAAATATCCTTTTTATGTACGTCTCCTCCGTCAATGAAGGGTAGGCAAAGCATCTGCACTTGCGGATGTCTATGGGTAGCGGTCACTTCGCCATTTCGGCGGATTCCGGTGACAAATTCACCGGACTTAAGGTGGCCGAGCGCAGATGGCGCTTAGCCCAAACCTCGTTTATAGGTACAGCACGAGGGCTCCCTCTGGAGGCTAGGCACGGGCTGTTACCTCGTTATTATTACCGGATTGGAAAGACTTCGATTTTTGTATGCCCTGCGAAGATGTTAAAGCGGGCTCTACCACTGGTAAATGTTAAACCACTTGCTTACTTAACTTTGTGTTATTTTTTTTAAATAATCCTTATGCTACTACATTAATAAGTTTCTAGTTCTACTACGTATACTAATGTTGGTTAGGTTATAGCGTTTACCAGTATCTAGGGTCCGCGATTATTCAGAAGCGTGTGTTCTATCGTAATACGTCACTATATTTTAGTAAACCGTTACAGTTGTAGGTATGTATAGTGGTAAATCCCCGTCCGAAAGTATGACGGTAATCATTGTTTTTTTTTTTATTTAACTACATAATTAGTAAGTAATATATAATTATGTTTAATTATGTTTTTGAAACACGTTTTGTCGCAATTGGTGTAAGTGTTCACACTAATATTATAATATAGTTATCCATAGTTTGAATAGATGGATGTTTTTACTATCTTAAAACGGACCTCGTTGATATCTTATTAATCTTACTAATACTACATACTAGCTGTTGCTCTCGACTTCGTCCGCTTAAAATTAATATAGTAAAAACATTGTCACTCAGTGATAACGTAGCTTTTTAATGGTGAAAGAATTTTTTAAATCGGTCCAGTAGTTTTTGAGTTATTTCAATATATATAAATACAAATCTTTCCTCTTTATAAATTGATAGCTTGCGCCCGTGACTCCGTCTGCGTGGAATTGAAAGTAACAAAAGTGAATAGCCTATATGTTCTTCCAGACCATCCTCTATATCTATGCTAAATTTCATTGCAATCGGTTCAGCGGTTTAGGCTACAAACTATAGCAAACATCGACACAACAACAACAACAATATACTCGTAGATAAATGCGATAGATGGATGGATGTTAGAGTTAGTAGCCTAAACTGCTAAATGGATCTTGCAGAAAAGCATAGAGTAAAGGATAGTCTAGTCTTCTAGACTCATAAGCTACGTTTTTTTTTTAATTCCACGCAGATGAAGTCACAGGCAAACATTGTAGGTAAATGGAAAATATCTTGTTCGTTTTATTTTGTCTTCTAAATAAGGATGTAATATTATGATTTAAGAATAAAAAAACTTGCTTTTAACAATCTAACTTACCAAAAACAAGGAAAATAACATTCCACAAACTGTACACTTTAGCCATTTGTAAGCAACTAGTATTGTCAATGAGAACAATATTCAATAAAAAACAATTACACACTGAATTAAAAAAATAAGTAAAAAAAAATAAAAATGGCGGACACTTCACGGTCACTCGTTCCACATTTCACGCAAAATCTTTTATGATTACTTCTAATCCAATAAACGATTTTAAAATTTACTATTATTATAAATACGTGTATCTATGTCGGGAAACCCGAACGCACTGATTGTGTTGCTAGGTTAATGAACACATTTTTCCTCAAACCGATTTGATTCATGTGACATTTATTTGAGTCTAGGTGATGTTAGTAAAGTAGTGTTAATTACCTTCCCTCATCTTTCTACTTAGGGTAAAAGAGGGTAATTGAGGTCACTGGCGAAAACTCAAATAAAATTTTAATTACAAACAAAATATTTATTTTCTTCTAATTTGTGTTGACGCAAAATTACATCGGCGGAGCGCAAAAACAAAACAAATACACTTCTCAGGGGCACGGCTGTTGATTGACGCGAATCGTTCCTGGATGTGCCAGGGGAACAGAACAGAGGCGAGGACATCGCTTACGCGTTGCTCGCATCTACTCTTTCGTGAATAATATGGTGACTCTCATTATCCGCTGACTCCCATTACCCTGCCTTCCCCTATCCTACTCCGGTAGCGCAACAAGTTTTTGTCCTCCACATAACTATCATACGTCATCTCAGTCACTCCCTTCTTGATCATGTCACCTATGGCTTAATGGTTACCTTCCCTAAATGTTTTTTTGGTATCCTGTTTTTTTTTTTTATCTTTCCAGAGGAAAGACAAGGTTATGTGTTTGACCCACTAAAACATCCTCGGTGGCCATTCTCGAGTACGACTTGAGAGTTCCGGGATCTCCAGAGGAACGCATCGGTAGTCTTTTTAAGATTCCCGTGGCTTTATTAATTTCATATTTTATGTTTAATATGGTTTATTACATTTTTGCATGACTTTAAATTAGTATCAACTAGCTTTTGCCCGCGACTGAGTCCGCGTGGAATTAAAAACAAAAAACAAAAGGAGATAAGCTATGTGTTCTTCCAGACTGTGTTCTATATCTATGACAAATTTCATTTGGATTCGTTCGGCAGTTTAGGCTACTAACTCTAACAAACATCCATCCTTCCATCTGAACTTTCGCATTTATTTAAGTAAGATTGATTAAATAAATAAAAAAAATCAAATACGAAAATGCCAAATGACGGGTTTGTATACATTTTATATCTTTATTTTATAAAAAAAAAAACATACAGACGAATTGAGTACCTCCTTCTTTTGGGAAGTCGGTCAAAAATTCAACTATATTACTTTTATCCCAAATAAACAGTGATAAGCGACAATTCACCTTGTAACATACATTTTAATTTTGGAATGTCACCTAATTTTTTGCAAATTTTATATTATGGCAACTTTGGAAGATGATCTCTGAAACAGGTTATGTAAGGTCAAATCATGGTGATAATGAATAACTGGTAGTGAATTATTATAACGTTTTTAAACGGGGTATTTCTAAAGTCTAAATACAAAGATTCCATAAACACTGTTTTTTTACTACCCATACGACGGACGAGGAGACGCACATGAAGATGATATTTCCCCTTTCTATGCATCTCCTCCACCGTCAAATCCACTTCTCCTCCCCAACCTCTCCTTACAAGAAAAGGATGGTAAAGAGAAAGGGACTTAAATTCGGCCTCCGGCACCACACTCATCACACGAAACAAGGAATTGCTTCCATTTCACGCCTGTCTTCTGTGTGGTCGTGGTATTACTGGGGGCGTGCCGGCCCTGCAGTGCTAAGATGTTAAAGCGGGCACTACCATGTTATTATGTTATTTGGTATTACTTAAACATTTCCCAATAAAATTCCGACAAGCAAAAAAGATCCCAGTACATTTTATTAGTTTGTTTAATAAATTATAAAGATGTGTAAATCTCTGAACCAGGTCTATAGATCAGTTCACAAAGCTTTGTAACGTTGAGCTGTGACTCAATAAGCAAAGAAAGTAAAAAAGACCCCTTCGTCACTGAATTTGAGCTAAACTATTTAACTACGTCGTAGTCTTTGACTTCAAAAATCAAACAAAAAATTGGGACCCACCTGCAAGCATTACCTTTCGGATAAAAAAAGAATTATCAAAATCGGACCACAAGCGGCGGATTTATGCCGTAACAAAAAAAAGC